TTAACATGTGTGGCTCTAGGTTTTCCTTAGCTATCTCACAGAGCTGGGGCTTTGACTGAACTACGAGAAGAGAATGTTCACCATGTTACTGGTTCTCTTTCAGGTAGTTCTTCAGAAATCTCTTCCTCAATACACTACACCAACCATTTCTTGAGCAGTTCTTATAGATAGTAAGCAACTGGTCTAGGTTTCTGAGCAACAGGTACCATCTCTAGCTTCATGCTGAACTTGGCATAGAAATTCACCAGTTGGATTTCGGTGACTTTTGTTAAGTTGCGCTATTTCTTTCCAGCCATAAATGAGAAGTGGATCTTTTTTATCCACAGGTTCTGTTATTTGTAAAAAAGCAAAATTCTCCCTCCATTTCCTCCAACCATTCTTCCCATGCTTTTCTTGTTGTCAGTTGGTCGTCCCCCTTGTAAAAATGGTTTTGCTTTTAGGTTTTTGTTCTCTGTGATAATTCTAACAAGCTCTGTGGCCACCGCCACTTCATTCTGCTCTGTGTCTGGCATCGCTGTTTGTAAGTTTTGGCTCAGGTTCACATTGGAGTATCACCACATTTGCTGGGCTATTGTCTCGCTTTCATTTGTCACTTTATCTCGCTGGTGGTGCTTTATCCTCATCACCAATAATACGTTCAAATGCAAACATTAAAATGCTGCCAGATGCTGTTTCAAAATTACTTTAATGTTAGAAAACAAAAAACTACAAGTGATGGCGTGATCATGTGCCTTCAGTGCATGCGCAAGGTGAAAATCCAGAATTGAGTAAACTCAAGGGAGTACTCCATCACTGGGTATGTATATTATGGTTGCAAAAGGCTAGAATAAACTTTCTTGCCCGGTAACGTTTCCTCTCCTACCTATATGTAAGAGGCAAGTTTCGAAGCAATTTTTTGCTAAATGTTCCTTGTATTACTGTCACAGGTGCACAGGCCTATAGACAGTGTAAATGTTAGAAAAGAATGTTATGTAGGAAAATAGACTAAATCAAAATGAAATTTATGAATTGACTTACTATGTTTTATCAGACGTTGGTTAAGAGTCCAGCAGGGGGAACTGTCATATTTCAAACTTGGAGAAGAAAATCAGGTAAAGATAAGTGTGATTTCCCTCGATATCTGTCAGCCACCTACAGTATCTTTAAAATGTTCTGCAACAGTTCACAAACAACCAACCAATGCCTTGGTAATAAGGATACTGGATGTACAGTATCACTTTGACCAGCTTTAGATAACTTTAAGTCCAAATAGTAATCCGATGAATAACGAATTCCTGTACGTACTAACTCAGTGCATTAGTGAACATACTGTGGTGATTGAACTTTGAACTAAATGTACCCAGGATCGGAGTGCCTTAAAGAGGTTATGCTTGCTAAAAAAACAGACAAATGAAATATATTGACAATTCCATTTCAGTTTTTATAATAAGAGTTAAGAAAGTTACTAAAGATTCTCTGTCTTTTTTGCAGACAGCACTAAACATTGTCAAACTTGGACCTGGTTTAGCTGAAGTGAAAAGCATAGATCATAATTCCTTTGTTATTATCACGAGCAAAAAGGAATACAGGTACAGTAAATATAATGTTGAAAAATTTTTTGTGCAATATTATTTTGTTGGTCACTTTTGCACAATTTATAAAAATTAATTATATAATAAGACTATGCGGTGGAATGGCTTCCAGTGGTTGTAAAGGACATGCAGTGTGCCATTATATACTCAATTTATTGAGAAAATGTTGTTGCTTGAAAAGTATGAATCACTAATGTTAAGACCTAATGGATTGTGGGGGAATAAATAGTTTATTAGCATTGGAAGTTCAATGTTCCCTCTAGAAAATGTAGATTGTCACAAGCATCGTGCACATGGTTGTTGAAAGCTGGTTTGAGATAACCCAGGGTTAGTGCGAATTTTGAACTCAGATATGAGAGCTTAAAAGACAAATTCAGTTTAATTCTTCATTTCGATAAATTACTTTTACAGTAAATAGCCATGTTGTCCATCATAACCAACATTTTGTCAATGTGAAAAACGTTTAGAGAATGTTTAGCCAATCCGCTCATAAACACAATCCCCCTGGAGTAGATTTTTTATAATTATAGTCAATGAGAATACCCACTGGCTTCTCACTCGCTGATTAAGCAAATGAAGTTGTGCTATTTTCCAGGTTGCCCATAATACCCCCCCTTTTTTCTTGTGATACCTTCTGTTCGCAAAATGTTGCATAACCATTGTTTCCAGTTTCTCTGGTGATGACTGTTACCCACGAAAATTTGATCCATCTTCCAAAAAGGGAACATTTACTGTCTGAGAACTAGAGCTCATATCACTCAGTGATTTTTCTGCGAGTAGCTTGCCATTTGTGATTTGTTAAGTTAAGAACTCAAACCATCTTTTGAACATTTTATTTTTATGTAATTCTAGTTTATGTTTATTTCTTGCTTTCTAATTTTTTTCAGCTTTCGTGTCTTGAATTTGAACAATGTTGGTGATAACGCAGTGGAAAAGGAAAGAGATGCGTGGATTGAGGTGGATAGAATGAATTCTTGTCATTTACCATTTTTTAAAATATATTCGTGAAATTTTCTTTTATATGAAGTTTTTTAATATAATGATTTCAATTGGGATTTAAGATTGGGATTTGCAGTGACTCTCTTTTTCTTTGGACTTGTCTTCCCTTTAGGCCATAACCGAGGCATCCCAGCTTAATTTCCGCAAGTCAAGAGCAGTTTCACTGCATGATGAACAAGGTATATACCATTGCAAAATAACTTTGAATTCGTAATTGTTTATACAAGGTGTCAATGTTCAAGGTCAATTGTATCTTGAACTCCTAGGAAAACTTTCCATTGTGCTGACTTGAAATTCCCAAAAATTCTGAAGAATTCTACCTGTAGATAAAAAATGGGTGTAAGATGTCTAACAGTTCCCAGAAAATCCAAGGTGAAAAAAGGGCTAAGTTTTCTAACAATTCCCAGAAATTCCAAGATATAAAAGGAATACAGCCAACAGGAATAGAGCCAACAGTTGATGCCACATGAAGTTCCACAAGGACCTTGGGAGAAGTTGCCCATCGATTTCTTCGAATTCTGTGGTTTGGATTTAAACATCCTAGTTTTTGCAGGATGACAGAGTTATCCCATTTTCAAGTGCCGCGAGCAGATTTTTACCCTGCCCTGACTGTTATCAGAAGTGCCAAGACTGGGTTGAGGAATGCAAGCTCTTTCTATGACCCTTCAGCTTCAAAATCAAAGGAGATCAAAGCAAGTTATGTGTTAATTTGGGCTGGAAAAGTCAGAAGAACACACATAAAGTCGCTAAATCTTTCAGCGGGGCAGAAGAAAGATCCGCAAATTCTCTTACAGAAGTTCCTAGATTGGACAAAGCCAAAGTCAGCAGCTAACTTTCGCTAACTTCTTTTTAAGGGGGGAGAAGCGACATTATCACTTTTCATTGACTAACTTTCATCAGGCCATTCATTTATGACAGCTTGCGTCAATAGACCAGATATCATGGCATCTGCAGTTGTATGTTGGAAGTCTGCTATACTTTCTGTATCTGCTTGGATTTCTTCAGTAAACATATGTACAGGGATGACGTCTCTGTCTACCTTGCTTTCACGTACTGGCTGAGGTGAAACTCTGGAAAGTGCATTGGCTATGACGTTCTCCTTCCCCTTCAGGTTTTCAATGTACGAACAGTCACTGTATAGCCATACAAGTAGTGTAGGAATCTTTCAAGGGCAAAGACAACACTCAACAGCTCTCTCTCTCTCTCTCTCTGTTTGAATACCGTTGCCCTGTCTCAGTGAGGCTTCTTGATGCATAGACAACTGGCTTGTCATCTTGAAACAAAACTGCGCCTAAGCCTTTCTTGGATGCATTATAGTGGACGGCACTTGTCTTTCATGTATCAAAATATGCACGTACTGGTGCCATTGTGATTTCTTTCTTGATTGGTTCAAATGCTTCTTGTTGTGATCTCACCTATGCGAAAACAACACCTTTCTGGCACAGTGCTCTTAGTGGGGCTGTCAAATCTGCTATCTTTGGGGGAAAATAATTGAGATGGTTCACTAAACCAAGATAGCTTGTACCTTCTGAGGATCTATCTTATACCTATGTGGAGTGAGATTACCACCAAAGAATGGACAGGCGAGTCTTGAAGACAAACTTCTCTTCATTGGAAGTGAGATAATTAGCTCTTGTTGTCTCCAACAACAAGGTAATCACAACTGCATCTGGAGGGATTTCTGCATTGCCATGGCACAGGGTATCATCTGCAATACCGGTAGTACTGGGAACTCTCTTTAGGACTCTGTCAAGTCTTTCTTGAAACACATCACCTTTCATGGTTAACCCAAAAGGTAGGCATAGCCAACGCCAAACGGTTCTTGCCCTATTGTGTGTTGAAGGTCATCAGCAAACTACTCTCCTTGTCCAGTGGAATGTGCCAGAGTAGGTGGACTAGGCTGAAGTACTTTGAGTTTGCCAGCTCTTGTAAGACATCATCAATCTTCCTGTTGTACCATCGGTTGCTCTTTATATCTTTATTTAGATCTTTAGGATCAAGGCATAACCTCAAGGAACTGCCAGGTTTCTTCAAAGGAACAATAATTATTGAATTGATCCATTCAGTGTACTCTAGGACTTCTTTAATTACTCCAAGTTCTACCAGCCTCTTCAACTCTGCTTTGCTCACTGCTACCTGACGAGGAGGATGTTGGACAGGTTTGCAATCTTCCTATGACTGAATATCAGTCATAAGATCCACCGGGCAAAGTTCCTGTTCCTTTAAACTTGTCAGAGTATTCCTTCAGCAAGTACTCTTTGGTTGTAGGTAACAGATGTGTCTTCCCTCCGATGGTTATCGTGTTGTCTGTACATTCTTGTAGTACTGGAATAACTGGTTCTGCAGGGGGGTTTCACAGGCTTGTCAGTAATGGTTTTTATAGACGTATCCACTTTGGCCTTGACCGCTTGCTGCTGGATCTCTGGGAAGCTAACATATATATGCCATTAGCAATGCTTGCTTCCTGGCCAGGATCATGTGACCTTTGCTGTCTGCCATTTCACATGAGACTTATGTTTTCTTGCCATGATGAAGGCACACAGAACAGGATCCAAGATTCTCAACTGGGCTGTCATTGTAGCCTTTCAGATTCATTCTCTGTTGTCCCAGCTTGAGATCTGTTCAAAAAGAGCATTTGCTTTGTACAGAGGTAGAATGTTGCTGCTTGTACCTGTATCAACTTCACAGGGGATATAGAAAATCTGTGATGAGAGCTCCTTACTAAGCCAAAGAGGGAGAATGTGAGGCAGTGGCGGAGGATGATTAAGAGTCTTTACCATTACCATCTTCAAATGATGCATGGTTGCAGTAACATACACTGGTGTATAGTCTTCCACTGTGCTGTTTTGGTTTGAGGGTGCATTGATAGGCTGGGTTTGTAACTCATTAACATTCCCTCCTTTGCTTTTGTATTCGCAAACAGAGCCAGAATGTTTCTCTTTTCCACACTTAAAACACTTTGCATTCTTTGCAGGGCATTGACTTCTTGGATGTGTAGGCTTTGCTCCACAATTGAAGCAGGTTTCTCTCTTGGTGCGTTTTTGATTGTCTGATCCACCTNTGATGAAGGCACACAGAACAGGATCCAAGATTCTCAACTGGGCTGTCATTGTAGCCTTTCAGATTCATTCTCTGTTGTCCCAGCTTGAGATCTGTTCAAAAAGAGCATTTGCTTTGTACAGAGGTAGAATGTTGCTGCTTGTACCTGTATCAACTTCACAGGGGATATAGAAAATCTGTGATGAGAGCTCCTTACTAAGCCAAAGAGGGAGAATGTGAGGCAGTGGCGGAGGATGATTAAGAGTCTTTACCATTACCATCTTCAAATGATGCATGGTTGCAGTAACATACACTGGTGTATAGTCTTCCACTGTGCTGTTTTGGTTTGAGGGTGCATTGATAGGCTGGGTTTGTAACTCATTAACATTCCCTCCTTTGCTTTTGTATTCGCAAACAGAGCCATAATGTTTCTCTTTTCCACACTTAAAACACTTTGCATTCTTTGCAGGGCATTGACTTCTTGGATGTGTAGGCTTTGCTCCACAATTGAAGCAGGTTTCTCTCTTGGTGCGTTTTTGATTGTCTGATCCACCTCTTTCCTTCTGCTGTTTCTTTTGTTTAGGCCTGGCTCCTTGCTTTTTATGGAGTTGATGGACTACTAATTGGGTAAGATCGCCTTTGAACTCTGGTTACATAATAACCAACCTGACTAGCCGTGGTGTCTTCATTTTGAGCAGTTGCTGTTGCCTCCTCTTAAGTTAAAGCTGAACCTTTCTCGATGCATTTAAAGTAAGCCTCTCGGAAACGTAGACAGATGACCATTGTATCTCGGAATAGTCTGTCACGGGCTTCAGGACGATATTCAAACTGGTCGCAAAGAACAGTTAGTTGCTTTGTCAATATACTCTGCAAGACTTAAATCACCTTTTTCCAGCAGCAAAAGTTAGCTGCTGCTGCAAGAGCATTAGAGTTCGGCTTGGTCCTATCTAGGAACTTCTGTAAGAGAATTTTCGGATCTTTCTTCTGCTCTGCTAAAAGATTTAAAGACTTTATGTGTGTTCTTCCGACTTTTCCAGCCCCAAATTAAGACATAACTTGTTTTGATCTCTTTTGATTTTGACCCGAAAGGACCATTAAGCAAGAGCTCGCATTCCTCAACCTAGTCTTAGCACTTATGATAACAGTCGGGGCAGGGTAAAAATCTGCTTGTGGCGCTAAAAAAACAAGGATGTTTAAATCTAAACCACAGAATTCGATGAAAGTGGTGGAACAGAAATGGAATCTAGCCTAAACTCTGAAATATTTTAATGCATTGATTGAAAAGATTAAACTGCCCTTATAAGTAAAGCTACTAAATTTACATAGATGAAACACACATTACTGTTCTAAACATGTAACTGTAAGTGTTATGTAACTGGTTGCTTAACTCTAGTCTAGTAGTAAATTCCAAGGTAAAAAGGGTCTAAGATTCCTAACAATTTCCAGAAAAATTCCAAAGTAAAAAGAGTCTAAGATTCCTAACAATTCCCAGAAATTCCGAGGTTAAAAGGGTCTACGATTCCTATCAATTCTCAGAAATTCTAAGGTGAAAAGTGTGTAAGATTCTTAACAATTCCCAGAAATTCCAAAAATTCTAAGGTGACAGGGGTCTAAGATTCCTTAATTCCCAGAAATTCCATGGTAGAAAAGTGTAAGATACTTATTGATTCCCAGAAATTCTAGGAAAGGGCTAAAATTCCTAACAATTCCCAGAAATTCCAAGGTAAAAATGGTCTAAGATTCCTTAAGTCCCAGAAATTCCAAGAAATTCCAAAGTAAAAAGAGTCTAAGATTCCTAACAATCCCCCAAAATTCCCAAAAATTCTAATGTAAAACGTGTCTGAGATTTCAAACAATTCCCATACATTCTCAGAAATTCCAAGGTTGAAAGGGTCTAAGATTTCTGTCAATTCCCCGAAATTCCCAGAATTTCCAAGGTAAAAAGCGTCTAAGATTCTTAACAATTCCCAGAAATTCCCAAAAATTTCAAGGTAAAAAAGGTCTAAGATTCCTAACAATTCCCAGAAATTCCCAGAAATTCCAAAGTTAAAAGGGTCTACGATTCCTATCAATTCCCAGAAATTCCCAGAAATTCCAAGGTTAAAAGGGTCTACGATTCCTATCAATTCCCAGGAATTCCCAGAAATTCCAAGGTTAAAAGGGTCTACGATTCCTATCAATTCCCAGAAATTCCCAAAAATTCCAAGGTAAAAAGGGTCTAAGATCCATAGCAAATCCCAGAAATTGCAAGGTTAAAAGAGTCTACGATTCCTATCAATTCCCAGAAATTCTCAGTAATTCCAAGGTAAAAAGAGTTTAAGATTCCTAACAATTCCCAGAAATTCCCAGAAATTCCAAGTTAAAAAGGGTCTAAGATTCCTAACAATTCCCAGAAATTCCCAGAAATTCCAAGGTTAAAAGGGTCTACGATTCCTATCAATTCCCAGAAATTCCCAGAAATTCCAAGTTAAAAAGGGTCTAAGATTCCTAACAATTCCCAGAAATTCCCAGAAATTCCAAGGTTAAAAGGGTCTACGATTCCTATCAATTCCCAGAAATTCCCAGAAATTCCAAGTTAAAAAGGGTCTAAGATTCCTAACAATTCCCAGAAATTCCCAGAAATTCCAAGGTTAAAAGGGTCTACGATTCCTATCAATTCCCAGAAATTCCCAGAAATTCCAAGTTAAAAAGGGTCTAAGATTCCTAACAATTCCCAGAAATTCCCAGAAATTCCAAGGTTAAAAGGGTCTACGATTCCTATCAATTCCCAGAAATTCCCAGAAATTCCAAGTTAAAAAGGGTCTAAGATTCCTAACAATTCCCAGAAATTCCCAGAAATTCCAAGGTTAAAAGGGTCTACGATTCCTATCAATTCCCAGAAATTCCCAAAAATTCCAAGGTAAAAAGGGTCTAAGATTCCTAACAATTCCCAGAAATTCCTAGGTTAAAAGGGTCTACGATTCCTATCAATTCCCAGAAATTCCCAGAAATTCCAAGTTAAAAAGGGTCTAAGATTCCTAACAATTCCCAGAAATTCCTAGAAATTCCAACGTTAAAAGGGTCTACGATTCCTATCAATTCCCAGAAATTCCCAGAAATTCCAAGTTAAAAAGGGTCTAAGATTCCTAACAATTCCCAGAAATTCCTAGAAATTCCAACGTTAAAAGGGTCTACGATTCCTATCAATTCCCAGAAATTCCCAGAAATTCCAAGGTTAAAAGGGTCTACGATTCCTATCAATTCCCAGAAATTCCCAAAAATGCCAAGTTAAAAAGGGTCTAAGATTCCTAACAATTCCCAGAAATTGCAAGCTTAAAAGAGTCTACGATTCCTATCAATTCCCAGAAATTCTCAGAAATTTCAAGGTAAAAAGAGTTTAAGATTCCTATTAAACAATTCCCAGAAATTCCTAGAAATTCCAAAGTTAAAAGGGTCTACGATTCCTATCAATTCCTATCAATTCCCAGAAATTCCAAGGTTAAAAGACTCTACGATTCCTATCAATTCCCAGAGATTCCCAAAAATTCCAAGTTAAAAAGGGTCTAAGATTCCTAACAATTCCCAGAAATTGCAAGATTAAAACAGTCTACGATTCCTAATAATTCCCAGAAATTCCAGGGTAAAAAGAGTCTAAGATTCCCAACAATTCCCAAAAATTTCCAAAAATTCCAATGTAAAAAGGGTCTAAGATTCCTAACAATTCCCAGAAATTCCCAGAATTTCCAAGGTTAAAAGGGTCTAAGATTCCTATCAATTCCCAGAAATTCCCAAAAATTCCAGGGTAAAAAGGGTCTAAGATTTCTAACAATTCCCAGAAATTCCCAAAAATTCCAAGGTAAAAAGAGTCTAAGATTCCTAACAATTCCCAGAAATTCCCAAAAATTCCAAGGTAAAAAGAGTCTAAGATTCCTAATAATTCCCAGAAATTGCAAGGTAAAAAGGGTCTAAGATTTCTATTAATTACCAGAAATTCCCAGAAATTCCAAGATAAAAATAGGCTACGATTCCTATCAATTCCCGGGAATTCCCAGAAATTCCAAGGTAAAAAGGGTCTAAGATTCCTAACAATTTCCAGGAATTCCCAGAAATTCCCAGAAATTCCAAGAAAAATGGGTGTAAGATTCCCAGATATTCCCAAAAATTTTAAGGTAAAAAGAGTCTAAGATTCCGATCAATTTCCAGAAATTCCCAGAAATTCCACGGTTACAAAGGTCTAAGATTCCCAACAATTCCCAGGAATTCCCAGAAATTCCAAGGTAAAAAGGGTCTAAGATTTCTAATAATTTCCAGAAATTCCTAGGTAAAAAATGTCGAAGATTCCTATCAATTCCCAGAAATTCTGAGTAATTCCAAGGTAAAAAGAGTTTAAGATTCCTAACAATTCCCAGAAATTCCCAGATACTTGAATTTGGTAACGTTGTGCAGTTGATGATCATTATTTATTTATTTTAGTTTTTAATCTGTTAGTTAGATGACTTTATTTTCTGTTTTGGTAACGTTGTGCAGTTGATGATCATTATTTATTTATTTTAGTTTTTTATCTGTTAGTTAGATGACTTTATTTTCTGGCAGGTCCACATCAGCCTTTGGCTGCCCTCATATGTAGACTAACCTGCGTTATCAAATAAAGGATTGATTAACTCATGGATTGATTGATTGACTGGTTGGTTGATATTAACCACAAGAGCTATGTCATTAAATTGACTCAGTTTGTTACGGCCTCTAGTGATCGTAAACTTCGACTTAACCAAGATGTAATTGCTGATAAGTCCGGATTGAGCTTTGATTGCAAATTAGTTGGCGAGTCCTCATGACAATATAATGCCTTGTCATCAGCAAACATGGTCATCTTTGCGTTTTGCAGTACAGATTGAATGCTATTATACACTTAAAATAACAATGGTCTCAGTATTCTGCCCTGCGGTACTCCCATGGTGATTTTTGCTGGGGGAGACAATACATTATCACACATCGTTTGTTGAACTCGGCCAGAGAGATATGAGCGGCGCCATTCCAGACTTTTCCCTGCCACTCCTAGAGAGTTGAGCTTTTTGATGGGGAGCAGATAATCAACGGTGTCAAACGCTTTGGGAAGGTCTAGGAACACTGCTCCCGTCAAGCATCCTTTGTCCATAGTTTCTGGGGATTGATCTGTGAAGGCGATTAAGGCAGTGAAGTTGAACGCTTCAGTTGGAAGCCAATCAGTGATTCTGACAATAGTCTGTTTTCTTCCAACTTGACTGAATATGTGCTGATCTCTCTTTGATCTTGCCTATGGTTGGTAAGATTGATATTGGTTGATGATTGTCTTTCAATGACTTATATCCAGCTTTAAATAATGCAGTGACTTGGCGTCAGAAGCGTCCTTCAACAAGCGGGCACTTCGCTTATCAAGTCCAACAGCTTTGGTTTTTTAAAGATCTGAGGGCATTACGGACAAAGTTCACTGTAACATTGAGGTGGAATTTAAAAGGACGGGTGCTGGAAGTAGAAACAGTCAAAATGTGTTGAAATGGTTTTGCCAATTCTTTCCCAGTTGACACAAAGTACTGGTTTATGGTCTGGCGACAGAAAGATTTTTAGTGTGCCACTTCCCATTTTTAAAAATGGAAAAAAAAAAACAGTCGATTTTTTATCATCAGGGAGTACTTGTTTTATTGCTCGCCACGTTTCACAGGAAACACCCTTGGCGTCTTCAACCATCCAACAAGATTATTTCGATCTCAGATTCTTTTCCTTGTGATTAGTAGAATTCCGCAGATTTCTGTACATTTTCCATTGGTAAATACAATTGGTGAAGCGTGCTTTCCTGAAGTGAGAGTCTTTGTCACGTTTCATTTCAGCAAGTGTCGATGTTATTCATGGGGTTTTGCGTTCTTTAGCACGCTTAATCTTCAGAAGAGCATGTTCGTTTGCTATCTCAGAAAACAATCGTTCCCACAAGAAAACAGCATCACTGACGTTTTCAACTCCATCAATAATTGACCAGGGGACTTGACTAAGATCCTTTGCGAATTCCATCTTATTATCATTCTTGAATGACCGATGGTCAAATTGCCTTGGGCGCCTCCTTTCACCACACAAAAAACTAAGCTGTGGTCGCTCAGCGTTGTATAAATGATGCCTGATTGAAGAATCTTGTGTTCTCTGTTTGTAAAGAGCAGGTTAATAAGGGTCTTTGAGTATTCCGTAATTCTTGTTAGCTCATTTATGAGCTGTTTCATGTCATTTCCAATGGCAAACGACTTCGGCAATCTGCTTGCAGAACGTTTCCCGAGTTGGTCGATGTCTGAGTCATCCATTAGTGCTGAACCGTTCTTTTCAAGGTCATTCTTTGCAAAAGAGTCTCTTAGAGAGTCAATAAAGTTGGCTTTTTTCACGTTTAGGGGTTTGTATGAAGCAGCAATCAAAAGCAGTTTGCACTTTGGCCTGTTAATTTCAATCCATAACAACTCCTTTTATTTGCTGCTAAGTCATTCTTAACAGTCAATGGAATATTTTCTCTTGTATAAACCAAAACTGTACCTCCTTGTTTGGATATCTACATGAATATATGTATGTAATATCTACTTCCTTTTATCGGCAGCACTCACAACTTCTGTAGCAGAACAAGAACGATTTCTCAAGGAAGTTGTCCGCACTCTGCAAAGGGTATTTTTAAAATTTTGTTCTTGCCTAGTCTGTTATTAAAAAATTGTCCTGTAGAATGAAAGATCAAGTCCAAGGCGTTCTTTCTGCCAGTTTGAAGGGTGTCTTTGTCTTCTTTCAAGTGCACTGTATGACCAGGAGAAGATAAGAAATAGAGTTTTCATTTTTTTAGGAACACTAGAAGCAATTGTCATTTTTGCTTTCAGACTTCTCAAACTCATTAATAATTTATGATGAGAATACAACGACAATTAATGTTTAATGAGTGTTTGGAAATCAGATGAAAAACTGCTCATTTTTGCGTCCTTAATTTCTCCTTCTAAAATCATTTTGTTTGAGAGGTAATATCAAGCATTTGACACAGTGTTTAATCACCAGATGAAACACCTCGAAGTTCGTCAAAAAAACTCCGCTGCGCGTCGTATTTTTAACTCTCTTCTCGTTGCTTCATCTGGTGATGGAACAGTCTGTGCCTCAGGGGTTTCAATAAGCACCGACGGCTGACGAAACGCGTCGGCTACTTTGCTCATAGAAGTCGACTACTTTTTTTCTAGAAAGAAGAAGCAACTGGTTTGATAAACGCTGTAAACAAAAAATATATCATAAAATCTGAATGAAAACGCAGTTATGATGTGTTTTCATAAAGGCCCACTGGTTTTACGTTATGCTTTAGTCATGTGAAAGCTATATTTCAGGTAATTTTTCCCAAGTTTCTTGATAAAAATTACACCCCCCCCCCCCCCCCCCCACAAAAGGGGACAACGGGCCCTCCGATCAATAGCCGTTCTTCTGCTGAACACACTCCGGCCTCCCAACTTTATTTAACACCCGCAATACCCATCAGCACCTATACATATATTTTTTTTTTGTCTCCTCCCCCCCGCTCTTCCTAGCTCCTGCAT